CAGTTACAGCAAACACGACATACACACAGCCCCGTGCACGGCTCACCTTCTGTGTGTCAGAATCAGGCGCCTTGCGAGGTCGCGATGTCAGTTTCGGTGGTTGCATGGCTACCTCCCCGAATTCAACCTTATCTGCAAAAATGAATGCGCATTCTCCATGTAATATTCCTTCAAACCTAGAAGTTTCCATCCAGTCATCGTAACCAGAAATGGTTGCACTACTGTGTCTACTACTATCAGAGCCACATTTTGCCTGGGTTTACAACATTCTATATTTTTACTATGAATATTTTTTGCCAATTATAATTCCAGCGCACACATGCCTTCACGTCCAAACCACAATATACTAAGGGTGAAAACTGGGTACAATTTAATATTGAGAGCGTATTGTGACAGTTGAAATACCATTGCCAATATTATAACAGTAATTTAAAAACTATTTGTGATATTATTGTGATATTACAGATGTATTATGAAATTGAGTATTATAATGTTGACACCTTTATGTTATTATTGACTCTGTATTATATTGAGAATTTGTAATTTCGGTATAATTACTTGACCAATACCTTGTTGCTCCACTAGCACACGCGTGCATAGCCTGTGAGATAGTCGAGTGGACAATGAGTAAATGACGGGGAAGCACTCTAATTATTTACAACAATGATGAAAGTGAGGGGAATGGTTTTTTGTCATCGAGTCAAACACTTCCAGATATTCCTTTTACAATAATTACGCCACAAATTCATGAACATGAAATAACAGCAGTGTGTATAATGGGCAGTGTCGCAACACCTACCAGTCCTCGTAAAGTCTACAGCCTGTTTCTGTTTCTTTGCAGACTTCATGTTCTTCTTTTTGTCTGCCACTCTCTGCTTTTGTCTGAAGACAATAAACACTGATTCTATGATACACTTTAATTCACCACTAGAGCTCAGAAATGTTCAATTATATATATATCAGTTCGGTATATATATGATGGGGGACATGATCCAGAGTGTCACGGAAGCGAAGCACCACTCTAGAAGATTGCGTATCTTATGTGTGTGTACACACAAACACAACTAACCTATAAGTGATTACAACACATGCGCTGCTCCGTGACGTCATCAAGTTTCCCTAAACAATGTAGAGAATCTAGGCCCCTCTCTCTCTCTCTCTCTCTCTCTCTCTCTCTCTCTCTCTCTCTCTCTCTCTCATTAACACCTATTACTACCTATTACACCTATATCTACTATTTCATAACGAACCTCCTTTAACTCCTGCAGGATTTCCCTCGTGATGTATATGTACGGTTTGTTCACTCGCTTGACGGCGACTATGTTGCAATGGTAATAGCCGACCGACGTGAACATCTTTATGTCCGCGGAGCCGCCAATAGAATGCGTGGTCGTGCCACCGTTATCACCAAGTCCACCCCTCTGCGACGCGCTATCGCTCTGTGTGTATATCGAGAGATCGAACATTCAAGTATGGCATTGCACATCATGATAATACATCGAATTGTATATATATATACATTATATATATATATTATATGTGGCTGTAAAAAATACACCAACAGTGAAATTGGTTTCAGGAATTTCACGAAGCATAAAATATCACATAGATGATGCCCGCTAGATGGTGCTGCCGCCTAGATTGCGGTAGGGTCCCTGTATATAGGGACCATAGATTGCGGTTACTGAACGTTTAAATGGGGCTTATGTCGTGCTTGCGTCCCGACTCGACTGGAAGCAACTGGCTGCAATTCACTGAGACTACAGTGCTTAGGTCGGTCGACTGCGACGCGACTGGCCGCCACTAGTTGCTCGGAATAGAACAGTGGGCAACTGGATGCAACTAGTCGCTGCCGATTGCTTCCAGTTGCTCGAAATCCAGTTGCTTCCAGTCGAGTCGGCTCGCAAGCCCGACATAAGCCCCCCTTAACTTTAGGTAACTTTTTTATTTCGGCTATTAAGAATAGATGGACTAAGACTAGTTTGCGAAATTGCTCTTTGTCTTTACTTGTCATATTTCTCGATTGACTCTAGTACTCGTATAATTTACTCGTGATTTACATTATAACAAAGCAATAATTGTCTGATTGGCAACTTGGGATTTTGTGGCTCTCGAAAATCAATATTGCTCTAGACTGATATTGTTTTTCTCAATTCACAAAATTCCATGTTTCCCTCGCATCCGTGCAATAATAGTATTGTATGGGACCGTCAGCCTGCAAAAGAGACATGCACTTCAAAAACGTACCTTGAGAAACGCAAAGCATATTAATATATATAATATTTACACAAAAACAGATGATCTAAACGAGAAGCTCGAAAATTTAAAAATGTCATTCTAGCTCAACACGCATGTAATCTACAGTTGCTAAGTGCGAGCCAGTCTTTACGCTAAACAATAAACTTGTTTTCGCACAATCTCCTCATATCCTTTATTCATATCTTCTTCTATCTCCTTCCATTATCCTCCTGTTAGCTTCATAGCCAACGTGAGACAAACACAGACATGCACTCCAACTAAGTTGGCTCTCAACAACAAGAAATGATAAGCTGTAAAAGCCAACGATTGAATTCGCTAGTGGACAGGTGTGCGCTTTCAACTAGCTAATAGAAAGTGCATTTACTATAGGTTTATAGCACTGTTCACGTACTCAATAGGTCCTCATTTCATACAATGGTCACGTCCTTATTTCCAGTAATATGATCCCGTGCCCATGTTTTTGATTCATTGTGCATTAGTCATCACAAATTCGCGATTATATAACCATTGTATTACTGATATGGCATGTTATGAAGACGTAAGAAGCAAGAATTATCACTCAGTACTCGAAAATAAAGCCGGATAATAAATCTATACGCAAAACAAAACATGTAAGCACACACTCGGGCGCGAGAACGATCGAACGCACACACGCATGCACGCACGCACGCTCTCGCACGACCGCACATACGCATGCACGCCCGCTCTCGCATGACCGCACACACGCATGCACGCACGCTCTCGCACGCACGCATGCACGCACGCCCGCTCTCGCACGACCGCACACATGCACGCATGCACGCACGCTCTCGCACGACCGCACGCACGTATGCACGCCCGTTCTCGCACGACCGCACGCACGCATGCACGCACGCTCTCGCACGACCGCACGCACGCATGCACGTACGCACGCACACGTGTGTGCAGCACGAAGCTCACCAGCTTGCTCCACCTGCTGCCGAACCTTCCCGACAGTCCGGAGGCGGCTCTCTCGACGGAGAACGACAGCTCGTCGTATCTGATCTTCCACAGATTGCTCATGATGTCTCGCTCGTACTTACGGCTCCTGTTAAAGCGTAGACGTGTACACACCACGATTACACGACGCCTGTTGTTCTCCGCATTGCCGCACAGCTTGATGTCTATGAAGAGGGTACAATTCGTTATGTATGTGTAGAGGGGGGTTGTGTGTGTGTGTGTGTGTGTGTGTGTGTGTGTGCGTGCGTGCGTGCGTGCGTGCGTGCGTACGTGCGTGTGTGTGTGTGTGCGTGCGTGTGTGTGCAAAGAACCACAATAAAAAATAACGACAAATAAGAATAACAAGACTAACTCTCTCGAGAAGAATTATGCATTTGAAATGAAGAGGAGTTATCCTAGCATAGATTTATATGATAACATTCCATCAGAAGCCCTCACTTAGGAAATAGAAAGAAGACCTTGCACGTAAGGTCCCGCTGCATATACACGTCAGTACACCATCTGGCTACGTTGGTATGCTAGCGCATGCGAAATATCTCACGAGAGGAGTTATATTTTATTATGAATATGTATTTAGTATAGGTACTGGGTATCTCAGCATAGATTTATGTAATAAATTCTCATCCGTAGACCTGTGTTTATAATTAGCAGAGCGCCCTTTTTAGAGAAAACTTTTACTTTATCCCCTTCCGTCCTTCCCTTCCCCTCCCTTGTCCCTGGCTCAGCCTCCTTCTTCTTCTACCGCCTCACAGCTATCTTCCCTGCCGCCTTTCCTCAGTCTCCCATCCCCTCACCCCCGCAGCAAGCTATACTATTCAGTTTTTTTTCAGTCCGTACTGCTCGCCTGAAACGGTGCGCGGGCATGCGCAATATCGCCCGAGAAGATAGGCGGGAGACCTTGCATGTAAGGTACCAGCTGCACATATCAGTCAGTACACAATCTGGCTACGTTGGTGTGTTAGCGCATGCGCAATATCTCACTAGAAGAGTTATATTGTGTAATGAATATGCATTTAAAATGGTTAGGGGGTATCTCAGCATAGATTTCCCTAATAAACTTTTATCAGTAGACCTGTGTTTATAATTCGGAGAGCGCCCCAGCATTTAGGGTACAAAACACTTACTTTATGCCCTCGCGTCCTTCCTCTTGACACTCTTGTCCCTCGTTCAGCCTCCTTCTTCTTCTACCGCCCCCAGCTATCTTCCCAGCAGCCCTTCCTCAGTCACCCATCCCTCTCTCAGCAAGCTATATTATTCAGTTTTTTTCAGTCCGTACTGCTCGCCTGAAACGGTGCGCGCGCATGCGCAATATCTCCCGAGAATAATAATAGTTTGCAAATATTATGCATTTAAAATAAAGAGAAGTTATCCTAGCATCGATTTATATGATAACATTTCATCAGAAGAGCTCACTTAGGAAATAGGCGGGAGACCTTGCATGTAAGGTCCCGCTGCGAATATCAGTCAGTACACAATCTGGGTACGTTGGTGTGTTAGCGCATGCGCAATATCTCAGTAGAGGAGTTATATTTTGTGATGAATATACATTTAAAATGGTTAGGGGGTATCTCCGTATACATTTCCTTGTTCCCACGTTAAGCGACAAGCAAAACATCACGTATTTTAATCCACTCCGATTTACATAATATGCGCGTGAATAACCTAGTGACAGTGAGTCAGTGACTACAAAACAATCTACGTCTTCTCCAATTTCCTCGACATCCTTAGACAGAACGAAACCGTTAAAACATGGACCAACTTACCCACAAATCTATACCCCAACTCATGGTTGCAGGTCTCCGTTTTTCACCTAATAGTTATCCTCTAGTTGTTCTTATAGTAATAATATACCGCGATCACAAATACATCCGCATTTAGTTGCAAACAACACAGTTTTCCTATCGACACTCCCTTTGCGATCAAACTGGCAAATGGCTGAAGTATACACAATTACGGTCCATTACTTCTAGCGCCATCTGGTGAGGAAAACCACAATCTTTTCTAACTATGATATTGAAATACAGCGCCATCCAGTGTATTTGGACGATAATAAACCCCATAGAGTAATTTATCGAACAAATTCATTTACATACGTGTTGTATTAGTGACTGCGTGTGTATGTTATTCTGCTTTGACTAAACACACTTCCTCGTCAACACATAAAAAAAACACAATAAAAAATAGAAATTCGTGGCATCAAAAAAATCGAAACAATATAACGCGGAATAACGAAAAATGCAAGGCCTCGTCAAAAAGTAAACTGTGCGAAGGAACAGCTGCCAAGGAAGGGCATTATTACTGGACGGTCTGACTGATGGTTGACCGAGGTGGATGGATCATGTACAATTCCTTACAAATAATTTTTCGGCTTACAAATACAAGGCACTTGCGAACACAGATTAATTGGGTCTTATGATTACCAGTCGAACATTCGGTAAGACTACAATCCTAGGTGTGCAAAAGATGTGACGGTGTCTGTGCCTGTGGCGGGGTGACCCCTCGAAAAATTATATGAAGATAAGAGGTAATATATTATTACTAATACACAAAGAAATTAATGTAACGCTATTTATTAGATAACTGACACATAGTTCCATGATTCCAGAAAACAAAATATACATAAAACAATGATTAACAAGAAAGACAGCATCTGGTTGTTAAAAGTCAAATGAAGTTGAACACACTGACAAGTCTTATACATATTGATAAGTATGCTCATTTAACATGTTCGGCACATGGAATGTTACATAGTAGATCATTCACAAATAAGAAGATTATTGCATGCTCTTGCCTCAGTCAACATTGCCAGAGCATCTACACACTTTCTTTACTAAACGACGTATTACCATAAATATTTAGTTTACCATTTATGTAACTTGATTTGCATAGAAAACAAATTAAGAATATGAACCGGGAATAGGCTGCAATGCAAACAAACTTTAAACAACAACAAGATGTTACCTTTCATCAGAGTCACAGACTGCCATGTCAAGACTACTATCTCAGGGTTCAAATTTACATATATGCCCACTGATCCACACATTGGTAATAATTTTATACAATCGGTCATCGAAATTTGCTGGGGGTAGCGGCGTGGGGTGGTGCACAGTCAGATACGGGGATCATAGACAGGGAGTGAGTTCACTTGTGTAATCTTTCTATTTAATTACGACACTTCATACCACTGATTAGCTACTGTCAAAATGTTACACTCATCTGTTACTGATAAAATATGTCTTATACATGACCCTGTCACAAGTGTTAGCCGAAGTAGCCGAGTGATTTGGACCACAACAGTATGTGCCGAGGTGTTGGCTAAGAAATTTCTTGGCCTTTGAATATGAATAAATCTTTACAAAGCTGCACTAAGATGTTGGGAACAAGAGTAGAATATGGCATTGCCATGTTGTTTCACTATTGCATTCTAATTTTAAGTTTGTAAATTTAAATATACAAATTCCTATCTAATCCAGGCTAAAAACTAGCTCAGAGAAGATATGGTACCGATCTGCTGACAAAGAGTCAGTATGGATTAGTGAATTAGTGCCAAATTTGAACCCTGTCACCTACATTTGGTTGCTACTAACATCAACACCTTCTACAACTGCACCTCTATCAGAGTTACAATACGCGATGTGTTTACTTGGAAGAAGTTGTCCAATTGGTCTATGGTCACAGCAACTCTCATACTGTAACGCTTAACTTCATTACATGACGAGTACTGGGGTGATTAGCATACTTCATCACGTAAATCCACAATAATTAACGACCGATCACCGTTACTCGGAAAATCGACCCGCGACCTTTCGTCTGTGCCGATGCCATCCTTAGGCTTTGAAGTTCCTGTGAAGCTCTGGCTTAATGTCATAGACGAGGGATAGAATTCTATTCAGCACCTTCTCCTTATTCAGCGCTACATTCTGATGCATCTCTGCAATGCGCATCTTGGTGGTATCCTCAATTTTCAATGCGATGTCGTCCCTCGAGCCCATGTGCTAATAAAAGAAGGTACACAAATTATGTGATAAAGATGGATGATAGCAATCAGCATCAAACAATTGTTTATCATAAAATATACACTTTTTTAATTTTAAACACAAGTTTTTAAAATCATGCATTGACATATTAGTAGTAGTAAAGATTATTAGTTACTCTTTTGATTTTGACAAGTTTATTTAGGTATTTATCAATACCTAGATTACAGACAATATCTAAACAAACAACACATGCAGGAAGATAACTACCAAGGATATATTATACAAACAATATGATGAACACAGTTAAATTCTAAATTTTAAATTTTTGAATTTCGTATCATGAACGTTTTTTAATGGAATGGATTGCTTTTGCAGAGTAGGATATTGCTGCATATTAAAGACTTCTATCCATTGTTCCTCACACTTGGTTTAACTTTAACTAATGATATTATCTCACCAGCCCTATCTTTGAACCTGAACTACAATTAAAGATGCATTCCCATTTCCCACGCACATTTCTGTGACAAACCACTGTAAAAACGTAAGTAAATAACTCACTACTATACTTTAACTAAACGTTAGCTTTGAAAATAAAACTAAAAATATGCATCAAGCCTATATTCGCTCAACGAAAAAACAACTCGAAAAACGCATTTCGCCACGGTTCTGTATCATGGCGGCAAGAGTTGGCGCACATCACGTAACCAGCACAGCCATAGCAGGGGTAGAATTTAACTTTTGAAACCACTCGCAATTTTTTGCGAGCAGGTCAAATTTCAACTCGCAAAATCCAAAGCACTCTCGCATTTTTAATATAATTATTTTTGTAGTGTATAATATGCTAACACTTTAATTAAAAATGTTATCTTTTCAGTTACTTTATAAATGTTATATAATGTTGAGATGACTTTAAATTAAACCAGGCTACAAAGCGTGAAGATAGAATACTCTCGGTAGCGGCCGATCGCGCGACGTTTATAATCCTTACTCAGTTTGTAGACATCATTTCATCCAGAGAAATAACATTCATAGTTTCACGAAACTTGTTACAAGTTTGGTATTAGCACACACCTTTGCTTCATACTCTCTAAACTGGTGTTCCCGCTCTTTTCTGTAGGCTTCTACTTCTGCTTGTGCTTCTTCTTTAGCTTGCTTCAACCGCCTAGTTTTTCCTGTAAAAATATAAACATAGAATACAAATGTAGAAGGTTAGGCTTTATCTGCATCAGTGCATGTACGCATGAACACATCACCTCCCCCACACACACATACACATGCATATAAAGGCACACACGCACGCACACGCGCACGCACGCACGCACGCACGCACGCACACACACACACACACACACACACACACATATGACATAATACATGTATACACAATTTGTGTTAGCAATCACTGACTTAGTTGTTATTATTCCAAATAATTACAGTTTGCAAATGTGTTTTGATCATAAAACAAAAGTATAAGTAAACAACACATCACATTCACAACACAATGTACTGAAATAAAAAATGTGAACAAAATACATTTGTACCAAGGGAAGCAGTAGATAGAATTGGGCCTTATTATAATTGTAAATGTGATTGGGTCTTTTTGTATTCTCTGTTGGGTTTTTTCTACTGCGATCCGCAGTCTACTCTTGACAATGATAGCTAGGTCGACTCTATTTGACAACATTGTCGCTTTTCGTCTCAGATATAGCCCTTTGGACGTTGAAGACTAAGATTTATGAGGTTATTGTTAGTAGTGGTTGAAAGTCACGACTCCGACCATGAAATAATTGAATGATCCATGTCCATGAGGCATGACGAATTATCGAATGCTCAATCTCAGCGAGTTAAACCCCATGCATAAAAGTAGTCACATTGACGTTACCCGACCGTAAGCGAACCAAAATAAAATCTTGATCAGTTCTAGGCTATTACTTACGAACTCTGGCTTCACCAACTTTTACGGCCGCGCTCTTCTCGGCCATCAAAAGCTGCTGAATTCCAGTAGTTTGGCTCGCCATTTTCAAGATGGTCTAGCAATATAATATGGCGAATGCACTGGGCGAATAAAGTGGGCGAATGTGTCGTTTCTACTCGTAGTTCTAGATTTTCTCGCTACGTGGCAGCACTAATCGATGCTCAGTAGAGTCGAATCCCCCTAATACTAAATATCTTTGCTAAATATTAAATATGTTACGCTGCTACTTTTATTTATGAACGCTTGAAAGTAGATTGTGAGCGCGGTAGCTTGTATAGTAAATTAAGTAGCCAAAATAGTTGCTAAAGTTATATATACCAATACCCTAGGGTATAGGTGTATCAAATTTGTGATATGTGGGGCGTGTATCAGTATCCTGGTTATATATACTTATTAACTTGATTATTATTATTATTATTATTAACTGGTATTATACTTGATCATGATGCGATTTCTGGAGGGGTGGAATGCTGTTGAATACTGCCACCTAATGATACAAATAACACACTTTTGGCCACACTCAATAAGTATTAACACGAAGTTTACATTTATTCACCTATCTTCCATAACAATCACTCAAGTGTTAACATGAAGTGTATGCTTGTTCACCTCTCTCCCATAACAGGTGATCAGGCGGTAAGGCCAAACAAAACAATACCTTTGGTTCGGGTCACATGGATTGTGAAAATTAGGGTAGGTAGGTAGGTATAACATTTTTTTTAATACTTTTTTTACCTGCAAAAACATGGGTAGGCAGGAATATATATTTTTTCCCACAAGTTAAATATACATATAGGGTATACAGCTTGAAATGCAGGACCCACGAGATGCAAATGACATGCAGTTGCATGTACCATTGCTGCAAGTCACGACATTGTTGTCAAAATGTGAACACCTGGATAGTAGTGTTAGGAATTGCTCCAAAAACGGTACTCGATTAATCGTCCCTTTGAACGAGCGAGTAACCGAAGTGTAAACGGCTCTGCGGCCGCGTATAGCACGATAGCATGCGTATAATACTATATAGTACGCGATAGATCGCGTATATCAAAGCCGGCCGCCGCGCCATACGACCTTCAGGCTCTGTTTATGAAGTAGCCGGCCCAGGCTCTATTTCACGTTGTAGGAAACGTATAGGTACGAACTGTTTCACTTCTCGCTAACGAAGTTCTGTTTATAAATATTTTGGAACTCTCTTTAGGTAAATAAAATGACAAGTCGAAACAATCTGACAATAAATGAGTCGGATATTTGAATATGTATGATCGGCAGGCGGTATCTTTGAATTTTATTTTTTCTTGAAACCCTCTAAAAGTGACCGCAGTCGCACATTTTATCACTCCGAAATCTGAAGTCGGGTCGAAACCAAAGGTAATTTTTTGGTCGGCCTAACATGGAAGTGCACGCACATTCAGCTCTATTCAGTAACAGGCGATCAAGGGTTAACATCAAGTGTACACTCGTCCGCCTCTCTCTCTCACACACACAACACTCCATCAAGAGTTAGCGTGTAAAGACTGCAGTAAGGGGGACGTTCCCGTCTGTAGCGGCGACGATGCCGGCAGTAGTGAGGACGTTCCCTTCTGCTTCCTGTAGAGTTGGATCACTCGCTCACGCTCAGCGTCGAGCCGGCGTTGCTCGCCGGCAGGCAGCGCGCGTCGCGGCACTGTTCGACCGAGCTGTCGCTGCACGGACGACGCCGTGCCATCGCTGTTGTCACGTACAATCTCACGCAGCAGCAGCGACGGTTTCCTCCCAGGCTGTAACACGGTCATGATAACCGTTTTAACAGTCATGAATGTATTATCAGACATGATAACCTACACCCTCAGCAGTATACAACAGTCATGATAACCCTACACCCTGAGCAGTATACAACAGTCATGATAACCCTACACCCTGAGCAGTATACAACAGTCATGAGTAAGCCCTACAAACCCTGAAGGCAGTATACAACAAGTCATGCTAACCCTACACCCTGAGCAGTATACTATAACAACAGTCATGATAACCCTAACCCTGAGTCAGTATCAAACAGACCATGATGAACCCTACACCCTGAGCGTATTATACAACGTAGACATGAATAACCCCTACATGACTCTGAGCAGTTAAATCAGCAGTCAGAGTAACCCTACACCTGAGCAGTATACAACAGTCATGTAACCCTACACCTGAGCCAGTATCAACATGTCATTCGACTAACATCAACATCCCTGAGGCAGTATGCAGAGCATCATGATAACCATACACAGCTGAGAGAAGTATGCAACAGTGAATGATAAACCATGACACCCTGAGCAGTATAAACTGTGCACGCTCAACCCTAGACACCCTTGAGCAGTTAAGCAACAGTCGATGATAACCATACATCCCTGAGCAGTATACAAAGTCTATGCTAACCTAACACCCTCGAGCAGTACCAACAGTCATTGATAAACCATTACCCCTGAAGCAGTATTACAACAGTCATGATGAACCATACACCTGAGCAGCCAAAATTGGTTTCTTCCTCAGACCTGTTTCTTCTTCCTGATGCCGGCTTGTTAGCATCATGCACATCTTTCTTATGCATTGTGATCGGTATGCTATGCAGCGCTTTTAGTAAGCACACATCACTGAATCTGCGATGATAACAACAGTTACAGCAAACACGACCATACCACACAGCCCCCGTGCACGGCTCACCTTCTGTTGTCAGAATCAGGGCGCCTGCGACGGTCGCGATGTCAGTTGTCGGTGTTGCATGGCTTACCTCCCGAATTCAACCTTATCTGCAAAAATGAATGCGCATTCTCCATGTATATTCCTTCAAACCTAGAAGTTTCCATCCAGTCATCGTAACCAGAAATGGTTGCACTACTGTGTCTACTACTATCAGCGAGCCACAATTTTGCCTGGGTTTACAACATTCTATATTTTTACTATGAATATTTTTGCCAATTATATTCCAGCGGCACACATGCCTTCACGTCCAAACCACAATATACTAAGGCTGAAAACTGGTGTAGCATTAATATTGAGAGCGTATTGTGACAGTTGAAATACCATTGCCAATATTATACAGTAATTTAAACAACTATTTGGATATTATTGTGATATACAGATGTATTATGAAATGAGTATTATAATGTTAACACCTTTATGTTATTATTGACTGTATATATTGAGAATTTGTAATTTCGGTATAATTACTTGACCAATTAACCTTGTTGTTCTCACTAGCACACGCGATGCATAGCCTGTGAGATAGTCGAGGGTGACAATGAGTAAATGACGGGAAGCACTCTAATTAATTTACAACATAGTGATGAAAGTGAGGGAAGGTTTTTTTGTCATCGAGTCAAGACTTCAGATATTCCTTTTACAATAATTTACGCCACAAATCATGAACATGAAATAACAGCAGTGTGTATAATGGGCAGTGTCGCAACACCTACCAGTCCTCGTAAAGTCTAGAGCCTGTTTCTGTTCTTGCAGACTTACATGTTTCTTTTGTTCTGCCACTTCTCTGCTTTTCTGTCTGAAGACAATAAACTGTGATTCTATGATACACTTTAATTCACGCACTAAGCTCTAGAAATGTCAAAATAGTGTTTATTTAACAACAACCGTCTGAAATGTTAGAGGAATCTCTAAAACAGCCCTGCATCCCTGGCAGAGTATTATCATACTGAAGATGAGTACCCAAAATTATATGCAGAGTATTACCAAACTCTGTGAGGAGTATCTTACTACGTACAGCAACTTGCATCTCTATAGAGTACTACCATAAGCTGGCATCGGCCGCCGTAATTTTCTACACATAACAGCACCGGCCTCCCTCTGGATGTTTTAAAGTTTGAGCCAAGACTTGAGACACCAAAGTTATTTTTTAGCCACCAACGAAAATCTATAGCCGCTGTTCACTTTATCAGATGTGCTAAGCAAAGCCTAAACAGGTGATGGGTATACAAAAACATTCTATGAAAGGACACTGCAATTTTACGATTTCATAATCAATTGTAATTTTCTGAGCAGTTAAATCATTCGCCAATTGTATTCGCCAATTAGTGTAGTAAAATCGCCACTGTTATTTATTTATTGCATTTTGCGAAGGTGGCAAACGCCAGCGGTAGTCCTGATGGCACACTAGATGCTTAGCTAGGGTCATGCAGGGAGCCACTCACTTTGTCTTTCTCTGCACAGACTCCAACGGTGTGGCAGGCTTCACGTAAACCTTGTTGTCCCGCTGCTGCGTCACTTCCACATCCCACTTCACTTCGAACTCTGCCCTGTGTGACAGAAGAACATGCAGTCAACTCTCATAATACCAACCATCCTCAGAACCCGCTATTTAGTTAGGTTTTCCGTGAAGTTTGGTTTATAGGGGAGACATCTTACATGTCTCCGATGGCATTGGGGCTTAAAAATTGTCTGGTTTAACGTGAGATTCGGTTTTGCAGACGTATAGAATTTGGAGAGTTGACTATATTAATTAACTGCTATGCTGCTAATGAGCACTTGTTAACTTCGTTTATCTTTTAACGTATTAGTGATGGCAGCATCACAAATGATCTGAACAGTATATCTCAGGATGCTGTTGAATACAAACAAGAATTACAATGTTTTTTCGATGGAATTTTATGCTTCCACTGACAACAATTTAGATTGTTACATGATAACATCGTGTGCTCCATTTATCGGGACTGTCAATGCCTTCTGATGTAATGGTAACTAATCATAATTCACAAGGGCGATGCTTTTGTTTATCGATTATGATATCATTCTTAGCTAGGGACTATCTCTTATTTGAGGATGAAACTGAAATGACATTAGATATATTAAAAATAACAAAATATAACTTTCATCAACAATAATTGCAGTACCGCTGATGAAATGTCAATAGGACAGCAGCTATCATGTTGCTGTTCAGTTAATAACACAGAACTGCACCTCTGTTTTGCTGCTTGCACTTCTTTATCCATTCTGTTGAAATATGAATTGTTACTTTCCCCCATTTTTTGCTTGAATGTAGGCACCGGCTGTACGACTTTCTCCATCCCTTTTTCCTGTATAGGTTGTCGTGCTGCAAAGAAAAGTAAATAAAATATGTACATTAAGGTAATTCTTTTAATTCAGCTAGAATGTAAACTTATAGATCAGAAAAAATGCATCAAACCAAATTACCATGATCTTTATGATATTTGTTTTTTCTCTTCTTTCCTATATTTTTTGAATTCATCAGCTTCTGAAGTTCCAGTGCACTCCTAGGAATTTCCTGACCCATGTTCTTTGGTCGGGAATTTATCTTTGCATTCTTTAACCTATATCAGAAAGGATGATTGGTACTTTAAGAATTGTAAACTAAATTTAATTAAAATGATTTCTAATGCTAAATGCTTCAGAACTGCCACCAATTCAATGCAGGCAAGTAAGCATTTGCCAATGTGAGGCACAATGTCCGGCAACAACCATTTATAATGACAAAAATATTTATATTTGTTAGGCCTATTGTATTCAATCGACATAGTCGTGCAACACTTCATAAATAGCCACTCACAGCAATAGATGTCATTTATCAACAAGTGACTAAAACAGTTCATGACAAAGTTGGGCTGCTTATAGCTGTGTGCAGACTGAAATGGCATTTGTTGAACAGACCAGTTTATGTATTTAGGCAAATTCGGTATTATAAGATCCAAGGCATTTATAGTGCAAGGCTGTCCAGCTAACAGAAAACATGTAGCTATCTTCAGGACAGAATTCGAAATCAATGTAACATTCAAAAGTCTTGTGTTTACAAACATAGAACGCCTACCATTGCATAGCGAATAGACTATCTTTGCCTAGCTCTACCAGTGTAGCCCATTCGCTCCCGTTACAGGGGGTTCCTGACCTAACACCAGTACTTAACACCGGAAGTGTGGCTGAGACCAGTCATGGCGACTTTTATGCTAAATGTTACGGTTATTCGTTGTCATTACTCCCTACAGTTTCCTCTAGGTTAAGGCCCCCGCACACGGTGAGGTTCCTGCTCAGCACAAAGCTCATGCTCCGTGCTCAGCAGGAACCTCAACGTGTGCGGGGTCGATCTCACTGAGTTTTCGGTCTCGCGAGGCAATGAGGAAAATATCTGGCGTGTTTGATAATTTTGGTCTCGCAAAGCTGAACTCACTGTTGGCGCATGCGTATTTAGTTATTCCGAAATGGCTGTGCATTTTGATTGGTTCAGACGTGCACCCGCTCCAATGACCGCTTCGTGCCCCCTGTGCACCAGATAGTAGCACCCGTGGTGAGACTCCTGCTCAGCACGAAGCTCATCGTGTGTGGCAGTGAGAGGTTCCTGCCTCACCGTGTGCGGGGGCCTTTAGCTTCTTCATCTCTGTCACCCCATATTGGAATTATCTTTCTTCATCTTTGGTTAATTGCAAAATTGAAGCTTTTTCTACGAGGAGCCGAGGTATATATTTATTTTCGATATAGTCATTTGGACTTTGAAATTAAAGACTAATCTTCACGGGGTTATGAAAAGTATGACCAGGTAAGCCTAAAGGTAAGGTGGTGGGGGTTGTACTTGTTGTAGGCTATACTGTACATACACAAATGAGTCAGGCAGTACTAGCACAGTATTAGTACTGGTAGCACTAGCTGGCTAGACTAGAGTGCTATCCGCGTGGCCCATCGCTCGGCGAACCCAATGCCAAAGAGCGTAACAACTTCTGTCAGCGCAAAACAGAAGAATTTAGCCTTTATTTTAAGGGTTTAGCCTTAGTTAGGCTGATAGGGTCTATGTCTCCCTTTTAAAATGGTTAGGGGGTATCTCCGTATACATTTCCCTAATAAACTTTTATCAGTAGACCTGTGTTTATAATTAGCAGAGCGCCCTAGCATGTATGGTACACAACACCTACTTTATGCCCTGGCGTCCTTCCCCTTGCCTCCCCTGTTCCTCGCTCAGCCTCCTTCTTCTTCTACCGCCCCCAGCTATCTTTCCAGCAGCCTTTCCTAAGTCACCCATCCCCTCTCCCTCTCAGCAAGCTATATAACTGATTATGAAGTTTTTCTCGGACGGCACTGCACGCCTAACACGATGCGCGCGCATGCGCAATATCTCCCGGGAGAAATCGTATTTTGCAAACAGTATGTATTTAAAATGAAGAGAAATTATCCTAGCATAGATTTATATGATAACATTCTATTAGTGGACATCATTTAAGAAATAGTAGAAAGACCTTGCATGTAAGGTCCCCGCTGCATATAGCAGTCAGTATACTATCTGGCTACGTTAGTGTGTTAGCGCATGCGCAATATCTCGCCAGAGGTGTTATATTTTGCGATGAATATGCATTTGATATGGTTAGCGAGCATCTCAGCATGAATTCTCATCACTCATTACACAATCTCATTACTCTAGGTATCAACTAAAATAATGTATGTGAAAAATTGATTTTTGTAGTTTTTGCTTAAAAGCTCGACACGAATTCGTTAACTTGTGTTACATGCACGCAGATCATGTGTCGCAATACTGTTATACAACTCTGTATTTATTTTGCAACTCTCCGTTGGTGGGGCAGAGGATGGGGGATCATTACCTTATACAATAATCTTATAAAGATAATTCTTGCTGCGCGCAACCAGCGTTGCCTCGTCGAACGGATATCACTACTAATGTACATAGAATACAACAAAGGCTTGTCTTGTTGTCAGTGGATTCGGACGCACCCTCATTCTATTCTCGCACCTTTGCTGATGAAACGAATTATATTTAGCAGCATCACAAAGGAAAACACGCGCACTGACGTGACACGTAAAACACGAGCTGTCAGTGACTATTATAACCATCACCACGACTCTACGAGTAAGCTTAGTGGTTATACTCTCTGACCTTATATAGTTGCTCGCATAGACCGTGTATTATATGCTCTGAGAGGAACCACGCTATTGTGACGCGAACCAAGTCGTCAAACGACTGGAAAGTAACAGGTCGTATTTTTAGCCAGCTTTAGAGCTATTGTGTATTTTCATGGCGTATATTGAGCATTTCTCAGGCCGTAATGTGCCGCAATAAGCTCCAGACTGCGGGTTTTTGCGCCTCACCCTGCTATACACGATAGAAAATCCGTGCTCACCGGCTTGCTATAGGAAACGCCGATTACAAGAGAAAGCAATCAAACCCGCCAGGAAAGCCGTTGTCCGTTTAACCTGACGGCTGCGTTCGTCCGTCGTCCCGTATAGTCATTGCAATACCAATATTACATATAACCGACTCCTGCAACATGTTCCGCTTGCATCTAAGACAAATACGACATCTGCACATATACGCTCTCTTATGACACTATTTGTCATAGAAAGATTCTTCCTATGACAAATATTGGCGAGTCAACTTCGTTCCGCTTTACAGCTCAAATTCACTGCTTGCGTTCATATTGACGCGAGGGTGATTGTGAGGATGATTGTGAGGGTGAGGGTGAGGGTGATAATAGCGCTTCTTAAACTCCTATGATGCGCACAACACATACAACAATATTTGTCATAGGAAGAATCTTCCTATGACAAATAGTGTCATAGGAGAGCGTACATGCGTATGTCGCATTTGTCATAGATGCTAGCAGAACATGTTGACTCGTAATGACTGACGGCGACTCACCTGCGTATTATCAAGAGCTCATAATACATCTTATTATTAGGTATTATTGTATCCGGTATTATTAGGTATTATTCGTTTTTGGTATTATAGCTAGGCGAACACTGGCGATTGGCGTTAACGTATTCCTGTTATATGACTATCAATGTGACTCACCTGTATATTATAGCTATATACTAGGTATTATAACTAAGTTAAGTTACTAAGTATTATAGCTATATACTAGGTATTATAACTAAGTTAAGTTACTAAGTATTATAGCTATATAC